AGAATGCAATCAATGTTTCAAAAAATTAATAAACATGGAAAAAGTGACTTTTTAATTTTTTTATCAAGGACCCTAAAGGTTAAGATATACGTTTATCTTCTCATTATTTATTTTCATTTCCCTGCATTTATTAAAAACTCTTTAAATAATAATGTCACAAACTGCTGCAAATGCATCACTCTTATGCACTGTGACCGGAATATCTAATTTCGACCCATTCCAGCAGGAGCCAAAAGAGGAGAAATTTAATGATAATCACGCGAGTGGCGCGACGCAGACAATGCATATTGGAACGGCGCGGTGCAATCGGAGTTGATTTAATGTGTCAGCCGGCGCAGTTTCATTGACTGCACCTGAAGAGCCAGCGATTTGATAAAGCACATGCAAATAGGTCAGCCCGCAACAATAATTATTCGTGTGAGCACAACACAAATAACATGCACCGCGTGTGGAAATGCATGATGTGCGTAGAGCAAAAAGTTGCACTTGCCGTTCTCATCCGCCGGCCGACAAAAGCCCATTCACAGAACAATTTTCTGCCTTTATATCATTCATCCCGTGGCATAGAGAGAGAGAGAGAGAGATTTTTATTGCGTGTTTATATTGTTATTATTTTTACATCGCTGCATTGCGCCTTAATAGGAAGAAAATTGTGGCAAAATTGCATCCGCTCAAAAGCAATTTTTTGTTCAAAAGGTGACTCTCAAAATTAAATTTTTCGGAACTGATGGCCTTTTGTACCACGCATTATTTGCTTCACTTTTCCTCTCCGTTGACTCTCTCGATGCCATGGGCCAAATTAATAACTCTCACGTCACTCTTTGGAAACCATTTCTCCACAACAACTCTCTACGGGGCTGAATTGTAATTTGGGAAAAATTCCCGGATTCGTATGTGCCGGCCATATTTGGCAACCTCGCCCTTTTTATTCTCTCGGCCTCGGCATTATCTATCTCTCTCTCTTTCTCTCTAAGGAGATAAAGGTTTTATACTGCGTGTGTGATTCTCTTTCTCTGCTGCCCTCTCTGTTTGATGCACCAGCCGACATTATTATTTCCAGCACCCCCTTATCACCGAGCATCCCCTTGTGCTTTATAATATATCATATTTTTTTCCGCAGGGCACAAAGCGACGAGACGAAAAATAAATATCTCCACTCCCTCAGGCACAAGCACTTTCTTCGGTCGTATTTTTACAACTTCCTCTCTTGTGTGTATGGCACCTGTTCACCTGCTCCGCCAGTAAAATAGGTGGCTTGACTACCCAGCCGGTGCACAAGTTTGAAAAATTAATGAGCGCTGTGATTTGATCAGAGTGCGGTCACTCCTTATGCTTTTGAAATCACAAGGGGGAAGAGTGAAACGACAAAATATAAGTTGTAGCCTCCAAAGAAAATTACTGGAGAAAATACAATTGGCATTATCTTTTTTGATGGAATTTAATAAAAATAGGGCAAGGAAAGGATGAACTTAAAAATAAATCAAAGAAATTTATTGTGATTTGCAAACAATTTTTGAAAGCGACGAAAAAGTAATTTAAAAAGAAAAACTTGGAAATTTTAAATTTTAAAGTTAAAAAAATTATTGGTTTAAACAGAACTGATTTTTTTATATTATGTAAATTTTGAAAGGCGCCAATAATTTCATTAGGACCGAAGTGAATCTTGTCCACTTTGAAACGGTTACGAAATGAGGTTCAAGAGTCTAGCCACGCCGTGGTGGCGAACACTTTCCATTGGGAGTATTACGTCTCCGGAGAAGCCGTACCAACTCCGGGCGCTGGCATATTTCTGTACAAATACATAATAACTTTGTCTGACTTCACAGATCAATGTGTGTAAGTTATACTAGAGCTCAAAAGCGACGGCCCCGCGCGACCGATCGGCTAATATCTCTGCTGATTTTTTCGACTCGGCACCAAGAGTGGCTCCAGCCAGACATTAATACTGCCGAAAGAAATAAAATAACATACACGCACACACAAAGGCTATAACAGTAAACAGTCTGCCACAATAATTATCATTGCCATCAGACCAAAGCAATTGCTCGGCGTGGTATTGACGGATGGGAAATGACGCCGAAATCAGCGCCACTGCTCCAACGTATAGTTCCGGCGGCCGGCCGGCGCGGCGTCCGGGCATAATTACACGCAGCCGCGAGTGAAAGTGCACAATCCATTGTACGTACAAACAAATGCATGCTCGGTGCGCGACTTGTGCAGCAGTCGCATGAATGCAGGCGAGACCTTTTTCGGCGTCCGCACAATCAGACTCGCCGCATCTCCGGAGACCGATCGATTAATTTGAATTGACTGACGGCCGCGCTTGCTGCAAGAGGTGGACGCGATTGCTATAAAATAAAACGTCACAAACTAGATTCATTCTTTGGCCGGTGTTTTGAAATCAAAATAAAAACAGAGTATCCTATGGAGCTGACAAAACTTTGAATAAAAATTAAATAATTTGATTTTTATAACTTTTTTTTAATTTAAAATCTCGTTTTTATTAACTTAATCGCTGTATTAATAGACCGCAATTTAATCCATTAAGCCAGTTTTTCATTGAAAACAGGCTGCACTGCTGAAGTCCTCGAAGAGCCACTTTCCCAGGCGCGTTCCGATACACGCCGCGTTCATTGATATTCATTTAAACGCTCTGCATTTTTTTTTTAATTCATCTCTCAGGCCGACTCTATTATCCTCAACACGCTATACAAACAATATTATGACACCCAATATCAAAACCAAAGGCCATGTGCTATGGAGAGAGCGCGCACAATCCCAAGTAGTTCATTAAACTCGAATGTCGACGAGATCGTCTAGCCGAGAAAGACGAGTTGAAATTAAGTGCATGCGCGCGCGGAGATAAATCGCCGGCCACAATAGAAAGAACCTTGTAATAGTTCACGTTTGCACCCAAGGATTCACACCTCGGGTTCCACCGGCGTGCAGCACTCTCTGCGCGATTTGTATTTATGAACTGCACGTGCAGGAGAGAAAAGAGTTAACGAACGCCGCGCCGATTTCATGGACGTTCCTTGCACGCTGATGAATAAAACATTCATGCGAAGAATGGAAGTCGCTATTACTTTTTTTCTCATATACACAATCTCAATTAAACTCCGGGGGGTAATTATTAGATTGTTACCATTATTGCACTTTTTCAATAATAATTGTGTCTGCCAGCAGCCTCGCGGTCTAGCTTCAGTTTTTACAATCTTCATAGTTATGCGTTTACAATTATTGCACAGGATAAATACAGATGCGGCTCTAATTGGGCGTCGTAAAATTTAAATAATTCAATTGCGCGGTTGCAAGGAATAATTTAAATTACTATTATCATTGCTCTATTAGGATTTAATTGCCTGAGTTAATTTGAGAAATAATGGGATTTTCTTGCAATTCGTAAGAATTTTTAAGGATAATAAAATATAAAAATTAATTAACATCAATTTAATTTCAGCCAAACGTGAAATACTTTTTAAAAATAATAATACTTATATTATCAAAGAACGACTACAAGAATAAATATCAGGATACATCCAATACATATTAAAAAAATAAATGCAGAAAAAAATGTGCTTGCGTTTTTAGTTCCTTGTGATCAGGAAGCGCATGATATGGGAATTATTTGTCTACGAGCAACCACTCTGCTATACGCCCATTACCTTGTAAGTGCTCTAGGCCATTAGAGGCAGGTTATTCACATTTTGATTTAATTGCAACTCTCGCACAGATTAGTATTTACAAGAAGAAAAATATAATAATTTTTTTTTTAATTTTATCAAGTTGGCTTCCGGTGTTGAGATTACATTGTGCGTACTTATGAAATTATTTTTGCAATTGATTGAGTCGAAGCAGTCGCACGCGCCGGCCTGTATGTGTAATTTTGTATTTCAAACCGAGCGTCAGTTTTGGCCATGCGGGCGTATTTACGCGAGATTCGGAATAGGGAGACGCCCGCCTTCAATTTTTTATACATTCGGCTGCTCGCACGTGTCCCCAGCCGCCCCTATCATGCAAGAGCACCCTGTTGAGGCGTCAGTCACATGGGGCGCAAATGGTCCTCTCTGTTCTATGTCATTCAACTGCAAGGCGCGTTTTTTTTTCATTTATTTAATCGCACTTTCCTTAATATGGAAAAGTTTATCCAGATTCTTTTCACACTACACCAAATGGTTGATAATCCGTCCCAGCTTCCGTTTCACATCGCATGTGTTATTTGAATGGAGCTTATCAGCTTACAAAATGAACAACACCCCTATTTTTTTTTGTTCAAATGGGGAAAGTCCAAGTCGCGGTTGCACACATTTGTAAATTGTAAAATTAAATCTTATCAGAGAAAAGATTTCAGCTGGGTGGCGTCTTTTCAACAAATATCTCGTTTCCTCCCTCTCCCGAGTTTTGAGTACATTTTGTAACCACTAAACACGGGGTTGAAATTCCGAAGCCGCGAGTTGAGTAATAATTATGTCGCCGCGCGCGCCTTCCTTCCCCCTTATTTGGTTACCCAAGTTGAAGCGTCCAAACTCGCGGGACCAACATCCTGCAGGTATATATTAAAATGAAGAATTTTCTGCTCGCCGTTTTGTGTCCTGCAGGAATTTCACTTGCACAATAATATTTACGGGTGGTTTATTTTTTTAATTTAAAATTCAGACAGAGGCAAGTTATGCCGGGCTTGCTTTTCAACCAAACGAGGTCAATGAGGAAATTGAGTTAAAAATTCGAACGCCGAGTTAGAATTTTTGTTTAATTATGAATGAAAGTCTATTCAAAAATTAATAATATACCCAAAATCACAAACAACAAAATATGAACAGTATTAATCTTTTCATTTCTTCAAGTTAAAATAATTTTTATGAATTTCATATTTTCATTATATAAATAAATAATAATGCATTGAGCACTTTGTAAATTTCTTTTAAATAAATTAATAGACTGAAAAATTAAATTATAAAATAGATTGATTTTAAAATATATTATTTCAGTTTGGTACTCACCGGTTCCATATCCGAGTCCCAGAGCTCTGTGAGGTCCTCGTAGAAGACCTTGTCCACTCCGAAGGTATCCATCTCTAGAAAGGGGTGAGCCGTCGTCGGGAAAAGCGCCGAAATCGTCTAGGACCGAAACCGCAGCCGCGAGTCTCTCTGGTTCGCACTTGCTCGCGTTGAAACCGGTGCGAAATTTGTTGTGTTAAAGGTCCGTCGTGCCACGCCCACCGGCTTGCTGAGTAGCGTCTGAGGAGAGCGTATGTGAGTGTGTGTGAGCGGTGCCGAGTTTCCTGCTTGCCTCGAGTATGCAACCTGTTGAATTGAGGCGCGTTGCAGTTATGTCGGCTCGCAATGCTGATGCCCTATCTCTGGCCGAGCCGCGCAGACGGCTGCCGAAACGCTGGTACCACGCCTGCGCTCTTACTCCCTACCAAATTCCCCTCTGAATCCACCTGTTTTCTACCAGGGGTCTCCGTTCCTCGGCAGCACTCTCCGTCACTGGAGAACTGCGGCGTGCCAGGGTGGGCGGGGCACGGATTCAATGACCCTCACGCAGCCTACCACGAACTCGCCGTTGATTGGCCGCAGTCGTCGCTGCTGAAAAAGCGCATCTTGTTGAATCCTGAAGGGCGCGCTCCAGTCAGCACTTTAAGATTTTTAAAACTTTTGTGAATCGTGTTTTTAATTTTTTTGGCAACTCTTGAATTGCGGGGTCGCATTAAAATTTTGTTGTAAAATTACAGGGAATTTTAAGCTCACGAGAAAAATAATGTTGATATTAATATTTTAACAACAAAGGAACAAATAATAATTAATTATCGATAATTATAGTGAGTCAAATTTTAACTTTACATGCTTTTGTTTTTTGTCACCTCCACTCAAGGAGTACATTAAAACCAAAAGCAATATAATAATACTCTTTTCCACACGGTAAAAATACCAATCCAGATTTGACTTTATCTCTTTCAACGAAAAATAAACAGCACACGAAAAATAGTTTTGCTAAAAAAAATACGAAATGACATTTTTCAGCAGGACCCTTTTAAAACGTGATTCTAACACACACAAAAATTAATATATCTGCATTAAGACTATCTATTGAATTGTTTATCCTCATTTCATATAATTTTTTAACATGTTCAATTCAAGTGAAGAAGCTGGCACTCGAAAAGAACTTTATCGAGCTAAGAAAACGGAAATTACCCTCATGGAGTTTTTCAATTGTTAAAAATATAATAAAAACTTCCTTCAGTTTCAGTCATGGTCTGTGACGCAATTTTTCTAACAATAATAATACAAAAAATAGTTTTTACTAGCAGTGTATGTTAATAAAACCAAAAATTCCAACAAGGGCAGCCTGTTATCTTCATATTCCATTACAATAAATTTAAGATTTATTATATTATATCAATTTCTCCGGAAAAGTGGTAATAAATCTATAAAAAAAAATTAAATTTAAATTGCATAATATTAATTTGTAATTTGAGGACTTCGCTTAAAAAATTTTCATGATTCCCAAAACCTTCCTTTATTTTCACAGGTTTTTTTTTACCAAAAAAGAACAATCGAAATAATAATTCTTGTGTATGGACATAATATTTACAACAAAATAGTGTTCCACAAAGGAACAATACATGTCATTAAAATAGAATATGCAGGTAAAAGTGATTGATTGTGTAGTAGTATAGAATAAAATCAGCATAAAATTTATCACAAGAATAGCTCATCTGGTAGAGAGAGATTGGACAGTGTTGAACAGAATGTGTATATAGGTGTGTGTAACAGCTGATCAAGTGAACTTGATGAAGGTCAAACAGTAAAACCATATTGCTTTGTCTAGAAAAATCAAAAATTTTCCTGTTTAGCATGTGATTGAATACTGAGAACTTGCAACTGATCGTGAGAATCAAGAAACATTGCAGTTTTTGCTGCTTGAATTTCCAGAAGCTGTTCGAGTCCTCTGGTGTTGCCGCGCCTCCTGCTCACTTTGCTGTAAAGCAAAAGCCAATTGCCGATCTTCTTCCTCCTGCTGCGTCAAAGTTGGCGATTGCACTGCTTGACTAGGCGCAGATGTGGAATTCATTGAGGCTGCTAATGCTCTTGCAAGGGCTTCGTCTTCACTCTGGACAGATTTTGTTATGATTTAACCAAGTTTTAGTTAAGTGCTTAGGATTTGTTATTGACTTGAGTTAGGATTTCAAATAATCATGAATTATCCATTAATGAGAATTCTCACCATTGATCCCTGGATTGCTGAAACTGGAGGTGCCTGTCGAGGAGCTCTTGAGAACATTTTTGATGCAGCACTTGCTGCACTTGAGAAGACACTCTGCACAGACCCAGAGGAGCTGCCTTGTCTGTTCATTGCTGCCTCACTATAAATTATAAAACAAAAAAGAAATTTAATTTAATTTTCAATATAAATTAAATCAATCCTCTAACAAGTAAGTACTGATGAGAGCTATTTTGTTTTCTAAACAAAAATATTCTCATTGCACTTTATATTCTTCAAACATTCATTTCACAAAAGTCTAGTTTTTACTTACGCAGCCCTCCGTCTCCTCCCAGCCTCCTTTCCCTCACACTGGTGGTCCTGCTCGTGTCTGTGCCGGAGACAAAAATTCAGACTGCAATCAGCACACAGAACAGGAACAACTTCTTTTTGGCGACACCCTTTCATTGAACACTTATTGGCGAAGACCTGCAATTATTATTTTTGAGCCATTAGGAAATTTATTCATTCTGATTTATTTTTTGTACTTTTCTCTTTGCTTGGGCTGGTTGACTTTGGCAGTCATTGTCAATATGGGCCCCGACTACGAAATCTGCTTGCTGATTCTTGCCAACAGGGACGGGTTGATTGCAAAGAGGGCACACAGGTACTTGGACATCTTTTTTGTACGATGAGGGACATTTGTGATCTCCGTATTTCATGTGGGCGTGGCTGATGGACAAAAATATTACGATTAAAATTTATTTACTTTAAGAAAATCATGTATTATTACCAGAATATCTGACTGCAGGCATCGCATTTCACAGGCAGAAAATCTAAAAGTCAGATGAATTTTTATTAAAATCTATGCCCCCAGAGTTTAATTTTTAGTAACGTTTTTATGCTAAACAAAAAATTAACTAGAAATACCGAGAAATACCTAATTGTTTGCAGGATGGCTCGGAGCAGTGGTCGCCCAAATCGGGTAATTCCATCTTCAACCTCTTTTTTTCTAATAGGCAGTTTTCAATATTCACACGTCGACTGCAGTCGAGAGCTGATGTGCGACTAAACCTGCTGCAATAAGGAAATGACTTTAAGTCGTCAAGGTTTTACACACTTTGCGTAATAATTTGAATTTTCTAGTCGTTTTTTTCTTACGCAAACTGACGAAAGGAATGACTTCGTGCTTACCAGAAGACAGGAAAATCGGGCCGCAGGATTACTCATTCACCGCTGCATGATTTGTCAAAAAGTGTATTCAACGCAGCTGATTTTGGCGACTAGACCAACTAGACGAGGGCGAGTGAAAACGAAACAAGAAAAAACAAAATTGCATCGAGAGCGCAGATGCAATGGCCAACCGAACCAAGTGCTTCCATCTATCTGGTAATATGGAACTACAACGATGAACTGCCTGAGCTAAGAGGGCACCTGGTGGATGAAAATTGAAAATGACAACAATCTCTCGGAATTCGGATCTTGTTCGGAACCACACCATAAACTCCATAAAGCATAAACCACATTTTGCAACTTTAGACTGCGCTGTGCCGGTCTGTGTCTGTAAGAATTTGTCAGGTAATTGAAATTTTTAGAAGTGAGGAAAGAATTGAAAGAAAACCTCCATTCGTTGGTTAGTTGTGACAGTTGTGTTATAGACGTGGGACTCGTGGGACTGCAGTGCAAGAAGTATTGCCTCTTGGTAACGCCAGTTGGACGACAAAAAACGTAAAAAAGGAGCATCCTTGGCCGCTTGTGGCTATACCCAGACGATTTTTGACATTTTGACAACGTCGTGACGTGAAATTTGTACGGAAGAATGTAGATTTTTCGTTAATTTTGCATTATTTGCAATTCGCATATATTATGCATTAGAATCTTAAATTATATTATTCGTTTTCATGACAATATGTAATTAATGTAAATTTTGAATGAGAAAAGCTTAGTGCTTAGTTTGTCGCTCTTATAAACAGATAAATTATGTACATCAATTGAATTACATACATACATAATGTACATAATTATTTGAAATCAATCTTTAAAATTCTTGCCAAAAAAAATCAAATTTTCACACCGTTTTTGCTAGAATGTTTCCTTATCCAAATCCCACAACATAATTTCTTATACTCTTAGTGAAAATGGCTGAATTAGTGATTGGAGAATCTGATATCGAGGCCATTCGAATCTGCCCTTACGATAGCAATCACAAAATCAAACTGAAGAGCATGGAAACTCATCTCGTCAAGTGTCGTGAGGTAAGAAAAAAATTTTACGATATTTCTTGCCTATTTTTAATCATATTTAGACTTTGCTACAATAATATTGCATTTAATAATGCCTGAAATTTATGTTCTCTTTACATATTGGCAGCGGCACAGACCCAGGAATTATTCAAAATGCCCTTTCAATGCAACCCATTTCAAATTTGAAGAGGAAATGCCTTTGCACATGGAAATCTGTCCTGACAGATTAAATGGCCAACTGCGTGACAGTATGATGATTAATTTTTTTTTTCCGAAATTTTACGATATTATACTTTTTAGTTGACAGTTACGTTCAGGAAACTCGTAACTCATGTGCCATGCTTGGATTTGAAAAAAGGGATGTGCTTGGCAAAGAAGACTGGGATGAAATTGAAACACCAGTCACATATGATCCAGCAAACAAGCTCTTTCAAGTTCGATTGTATAAGCTTTTGTTTTTTTATTTTTTATTTTTTTTTTAATTCGCTTTGGTTATTTCATTCAGCTACCCAAAAAATTTTGGAAAGAAGAAAGAGACCCTTTATCATCCCCATGCTGAGATCATCACCAGTGCAGCCAAGTAAAAAATTTATGCTTCCTTGTCAAAATTGCAAAAACTATTTAATTATTATTGCTTTACCAGGTCTCAGGGTGGAAGTGACCGGTACTCGCCTGCCAGCTTTTCTGGATACAAATATTCCACCAATGAATATGAGTAAGGAAAATATTTAGGCACAACTCAATTAAAATTCATATAAATTTCATCCTCTAGAAGAGATGATTATGATGAGGCATTTGCTCAGGAGCAGCAAAGCATCACACATGTGAAGACTTGGCTTGCTAGTACTGACGGAAGAGGTGGAGGAGGCAGTGATTGTGGTGCAAGCACCCCTGAGGATGTCAAATTGCACAACATATACCATCCCACTACATACAAAACTACTGATCCATCCCACCCCTATATGGAGAACAAATACACTCCTCATTATTCTTTTGAAAAACACGGGGGTGATGAGCAAAGTCCAAAATATTCTTGGCGCCAATCTGATCGCGAAGGTAAAATTTATATCAAAATTAAAAGAAAACATAAAAAGTTTATTTATTTCTTTTCCTAAAACTATATGTTGTGCAGCAGCAACCAGCTCCTCTGAAATGGAAAGGAAACATTTTGCTCAATCATCTTCTGGTTTTGTCCAGTACAGTGCCTGTAAATCCAACTCTATGGATGGTAAAATTATTATAATGATGTTATTTTTATAATTAAACAAATTTTAAAGGTGGAGAGTTTGATTGCTTCTCTCACCATTACATGCCTCGTGGAAGTGATGCTGAGCAAGTTACAAGCAGTAAGCTATTTATAATGATATTATTTCTATAATTAAACAAATTTTAAAGGTGGAGAGATTGATTCCTTCTCTCATCATTCCATGCCTCGTGGAAGTGTTGCTGAGCAAGTTACAAGTAGTAAGCTATTTATAATGATATTATTTTTATAATTAAACAAATTTTAAAGGTGGAGAGTTTGATTCCTTCTCTCATCATTCCATGCCTCGTGGAAGTGTTGCTGAGCAAGTTACAAGCAGTAAGCTATTTATAATGATATTATTTCTATAATTAAACAAATTTTAAAGGTGGAGAGTTTGATTGCTTCTCTCATCATTCCATGCCTCGTGGAAGTGTTGCTGAGCAAGTTACAAGTAGTAAGCTATTTATAATGATATTATTTTTATAATTAAACAAATTTTAAAGGTGGACAGTTTGATTCCTTCTCTCACCATTCCCTGTCTCATGGAAGTGTTGCTGAGCGAGGAACAAGCAGTAAACAATTCTCTTTTTATCCAATAACTATTTAGCTTTATCTTTCCTTTCTTAAACATTTTATATTTCGAATATACTTTTATTTAAAAAAAAAAAATTATTTATAGGATCTGGCGCTGTTGAGAATAGATTCACTGCAGTGGAAAATGTAGAGTTGGAAGAGTGTGACCTGGAGTTTGCTCAAATGAACCAGCTGGGCATCAACAAGAGAAGTATTTAGAAGGTTTGATAATTCCCAGCAACTATCTCTTTCTCTAAATGCCTTGTAAATTAACTTGGGGGACAAGTTTCAATTTTTTTTTAAAGTAAAAAATTTTCATCACTCGTTTTCAAGCAGGATAATTAAAAAATATTTAAATCTGTTGAATATTTGAAAGTGATGTAGTGAATATGATAATGTATTGTATGAAGAGTGTTACACAATATTGAATAGATTTGATAGATTCAATGTTGTTTGCACTAGTAATTTAATTAAACTGCTATTAAAGCTCATGTGAATAAGTACATCTCTCGAAGAGTATACTTTTGGGAAATTCGACTTCAATTATATTAAAATAAATAAGTACAAGTTCTACGTTATTATATGGAGAAACTTCTAACTGAAATTCAGTCCATAAAGCAAATTAATCTTCCTCATTTTTTAAACGCAGTACATTATATAGAATAATAAAAGGATGCTTCCCACACACACAAATGGAATAGCTATTTGCACTGACAATAGGAAATAAATTTATTTTCATCGTTGCCTGTATTCATTGTTGTATAAAAGGAGTATTTTAAATGACGGCAAAGCCATGGTTAAAAAATAAATCGCTTTTTAGGGTTGTGCGTTAATATTATGACCTGATGTTTTCTACTCTCTTGTGTATTTAGAGAGCATTGATATAACTTGACCGTCTTGACCCTCTCTTACATTTTTCTTTGCTAAAAGCAAAACGAAAAGTGCTAGAAGTTAAAATACTCACATTTACTTCATTTATTCAATTTGCTTCATATAGAATACATGTATAAATTAAGAAAAAAGCACCACCAATATGAAAATATTGTTTTCATTGGTAGTAATTTTTAAAATATATTATGGAGGCAAAATATCTAATTTTGTTTATTATTCTAATGGTCAAAAGTGTTTCTAATGGAACATCGGAAAATTTCCATAATAATATCCCTTAACCTTATGTCATTCTTCTGTGCAAAGCTGGTTAAAGACTTTGCATTTATGCTAAGAAAATCCACTTGTATCCGTCACAAAAACTGACTGCTTGGTTAGTAATTTGAAAAGAATTCCACTATTGTACAATTTATTCATACATACAAAGCCATTAGTTTTTTAACTGCAGCCAATTGAAATTTTTTATAACAATACAGGGCTATATTTAAAAAGGACAAGCAGTGGCTACAGGTCTGTGAATAAAGTTTGTATTTTTTTGTTATATTGATCGACCGATGAAGTCATTCGATGTTAGGCTAACATTGAATGAACTAAACATTGCCAGTCTTAAGCGGTCTTAAGTAATTTTGGTTAAATGTTATTCTACCACTACTTGACAATAATGGATTATAATATTCATGTATGGTTCAAATTACATTTTAAATGATGAAAATTTGGGAAAATGCCATTTTGCCTTATTTTCTTTTGCCCATTGCACAAATACTTGCTCTGTTTATATCTTCAAAGCAAATTTTGTTCTGTATAAAATTTCACTCACAATCATTTATTTATCAAAAGGTAGTAGAATTTATGTATTGGAAGATTGTTTGTGCTGTATGAATTGCATCTTGAACCTTCAAATTCTATGTTCCCTCAATTCTTATAAAATTTTCATCCCATATGACTTGGTAAGGTTTTTGCTAAAGTTGGCACAAATCGGAATAGTGGTTTGCTCTTACAATTAGATGCATCAGTTTTATCTTTTACAAACTAAAGTCCAGAGTCTCATGAAAAATTTGGAGCCACTGAGGAGTGTGCGTATATGCATGTAATGTATTCTGCGAAACGAATAAAATTCCAGCAAGAAAATCAAGCTTTCTTTTATTTGATCTATGGGCCTGGAGCACCATATTTCCTTTTTACATTGGCTAGATTATTGGGAGAAGTGAGCGCAGTGTGTCTCAATGTCTCAAATATTTACTATATGCATCTTTTTCTCCTTGAACAACACAACAGAACGAAGACATAAATTCCGTCAAATAAAAGAAAGCAAAGCTGAAGCCAATCAAGCGACACAATAAACGAAATGCTGGCCGTTCCCGCAGGCAGACTTTCCCTCTGTACAATGGGAAATCAGAAACAATTTTGGGTCCCTTGTAAGAAGAGGAAATTTTCAGGGATGAAACGAGCCAAAATTTAATTTTTGCCGTCTTGCGAATCTGCTCCCATTTCTCTGCACCGCGAGACGAAAAAACTGCGCGCTGCATACATACGTGAAAAGGGGGAGATTTCCTTTTTGCGGGCCCATTATGCACAGCACAGGCTATAACAATATTTAAAAGCTCATTTCATACGGTTTTGTGTGTGCCAAGAAGTTGCTCGGCGCTGCTTATCTGATCCATTCCAATTTTCAGATTGAGATGAAATGCACAAAAGATATTCCAGGCAAGAGCCAAAGATTTCCCCTGAGGGCCGACTCCGTTTAAAAATATGCAAAGCGCCGCTCCGAACCAAGGCGCCTTTTATTCCAATGATTAGCCGACTAAGTAGCTCTTTCTTGGCCTCTTTTTCTTCCAAATTTTTATTGAGGAAACACGAGAAAATGATGCCAGATTTATAAATTATAAGTAATTTTTTTTTTATCTTTTCTTGAATTGTAAAGAAAATCATTTCACACAAAGGCAGTTTAATCAGAATCCAATTAAAAAATGCAATCGTACACCGCTAATTGACAGCGTTTCATTTGCTTTTGTTCAGCACTATTATATGAGATTAATAAGTTCGAAACAAGATTTGCTCTAACTCGTTCCATCTAATTGCAAGTTAGAATCAAATGAGCTCCAATATCTTGTTATCACAATCGAAGTAAATCAAAAAGCAATTTTATTTTGACTATTATCAGACAAAAAAGTTACCTTGGGGGACGGTTTTGTGCTTTGATTACCTGCCACAAGCACTCATTTAGAGAGCGAATATTCATTTATGCGCGGCGCAAGAAGAAGTCTCCTCGGCATCTCCTGAGGGAAACCCTCATTGCAAAGCAGCCCTCGTTCATCGCGGGACTGCGCAAGGAGGCTCTCTGCCCCCAGGGGAAAACACTGATTTCCAAGCAGTCGCGCAATCATTACCCTTTATGTCGTTTTCCGAGTCTATGATTGCAGCATTTGTATTGTGTAAACGCCGGTTTTTCTGATCTCGTTAGAAATGGTAAAAAATTGTCTACAACATAATTATAATCATTTACACAAAATTAGGCAAAGTCATAATGCGTGACGCGTGACCAAGATTTTTGTAAATATTACTCGTCACCATCCTATGCGCAAAAAAAAATATTTTGCAGAAGTGCAGAACCTTTATTATTGGAATTATTAAAAAAATGCTATTTTTAAAAAATAAATAAACCACGGGCTAAAACTAGTTGTAAAAGTAAAGGACAATTATGATCCCAAAAGGCATTCTGCTGGTGCCTAGGGCGCTTTTGTCCTTGCTAATTAATTGTAAAAGTGGTGGAAAGATAAAAATTCACATTTTTTTTCAACGACGTAAAGCCCGGGCCGATATCAAATTACATAAAATTCGCTTTCAGTGAATGCTTTCAACGATAGAACGGTTAAAATAACATTCGCATCATTCATTACATATATATCTGTGATTTGAGGGCGATCATTTGTTTTGTCTATTAATTATAAACCAATTCACATCTATGCTAATTAAGTTTAATTAAAGTGATCTTGGCTAAACCAACAAAAAATATTTTGATGCATTTTTACATTGAAAAAAACAAAAATCTATAAATCTGGTTCCAAACCGATCAACGATAAAATAGCTCATTTGTGTCAAATTTAATAAATTGAATCAAAAATAGTAATTCAAAATTTAAAACACAAGAAACGCGATTCAGAAGCTCAAGTTTGATGTAATACAATATGTATATGTGTTCTGTTATTTAGGAGGTGCGCCAGGCGCTTTCTATTTTGAACAATATTATGCAAGGAAATGAAGCGATCGGGCTTTTCCTCGTTGCAGAAAATTGTTTTTATTCAAAAACAAATGGCTCAATATTATACAATTAAAAATTTATTGTATTCAGGATTTAAGGATTCAATAGTTTATCTCGTTTATCTTGACGCAAAATAGTGTCAAATGTGTGCAAATAGACTTGAGTGTGCAAGGGTAAAAATACTTAAATTGAAATTGTAATCAGCAGCAAGTGCTGGCGTAACGAGGGGCGTTAATTTGGGCCCCTTGTGACAGGTCAAAGTGCAAAAGGGTATAGCGCGCAGGCAGGGAGTAGTCTCAGTAGTCGGCGGCGGCCGGTTAATTTTCATAGCACGAACCGACGTGTTAATGGGTCATCTTGTCTAGCATGCAACCCTTCCTTCCCGCGGCTAACCCCTTTGGTCCACGCCGCGGAGCAAACGTTTGAGCGTGAATTCACCGTCGGCTTGTTAGTCAGCCAGGAAGACACTTTCTCCCCATTGGCAACTCTCCGAGATAATTACTGCACTTTATTATTCCCGGCAAGTTGGCCCACGTAATTTATTTGGTCGCCGACATTGGAGGAGCCCGTCGACATCCTTGGAATATTTAATAACTTTTTTATGGCTCTATATGAAATTAATGTCACGTGATTCAACAAAAGGTGGTATAAAATTGCAATGGGTACAATGATTGTATAAATTAGTGTGCTTACAATGTTTACCAGTTTACCATGTGTTATGCTGAACGTGCAACAATCAAATATGATGGATAAACAGCATTTTTTTTTTTAATTCGGTGAAGTTGTTTATAAATAATATTAAACCCCTGAAATAAAACAAAATTTAAATTATTAAAAAATAAATGCTTACACTGTATTGCATAAATGCATAATTTAAATTAATAATTTAATTTTTATCATCTGCGGTGCGATCTGCGCATTGCCTGTTAGGCTGATGTTAAATTATTATTGTACATCATAAAATATATTTGATTCTATTAACAATGTGCAATTCGTTATGGACGTTTATAGTTTCCTATTTTGTTATTATGGCACAGCGCAAGAATTATGGAGTTGCGGATGCAGTTTAATGGATCGAGTGGCTTTTTATACCATATTAAGTGACCATAAGCTTCAAAGCTAATTTTTTTTTTCAAAAGATATGCATACTAACACTGAAAAGATAACAACATTAATTTTTTTGATTAAAATTTTTCTATTTCAAATGGATTGAAAAAGAAAAAAGAAGGAAAAATGATCGAAATAAAATATACTTGGAGCAGAAATTCTCTTAGTCCATAATTCTAAAAATGCTGTCTATACAAGCGACTTTTTTTAAGGCAAAAATTACATTAAAAGTATTTTTATTAAAATTTAATTAGACACTTATTTATTTTGTCTTATTTAGAGTCGATTTAAGAAAATTTAAATTAATTAGAATAAGAATATCCTTGATTGCTATATTTTACCTCCCCATGGTCCTAGAAAATGCAATCCTTGAGAGAGGCGTTTAATAGTGGGTCTCTTTCTCTCCAAGACGATTTATGGGAACATATTTCATGTGCCTGTCACTACAGGATATTGTCTCTCACATGCTGCACCTTCTTGGCGTAAATGCTTTACTTTCTAGCGTCGCCGTTGCCACTGCAAAGTATGCTGTACATTCTTCAATCTGACATCCTTCTGACTTTATATAAAGAAAAAAAAATTAATAAAATAACATAATTATACTGAAAATTCTATAAAATAAATATTTTTTTTATTATTATAGAGCATAAAAGCTTGACTATTTTGTTCATTCTTATGTTCTATTAAATTGAATTCAATTAATTAAATTGGGTGTCAATTTTATAATTCTTTCACTATATTATTCATATTATCTCTATATTTCATCCAAGGATGAAGGTTATCTTATTTTTAATTTAACCAAGTCGATTGAATTTAACGGAATTTAACTTTTAATACTGTTATCCATCAGACTGACAGAATAATAACAATTACGCAATAATATATTATAATAATATTTTTCACTCATTGTTATAATGTGTGAATGTGAAATTGTGGAATGCTGTCAATTTTTTCCTTCCCTTCTTCCCTTTGCGACGGGTCGGAGGTCAGAGCGTCATTGACAAGTCTGGACGTGTTTCTGCTCGGCAACGGGCGCACCGCCATGCAACCATCAACTAAAGCAAACAGCGCCATGCGCCATCACGAAGCAAAAATTCGGAACCAGTCAATTTTACCAGCACCAGAAGGGAGCAGATTGCATTATATTAATTTCCAGTTGCGTCATCGCGGGATGCGATATTGCGATGAGAGAAATGTCAGAATGAGAAGAGAAGCGTGAGATGTAAGTGCAGGTGCGCTTGAAAATCAAAAATTGGTATGATTTTTTTACATTTTTGATGATTGATGGATTTAAAAATTTCTCATGATGCTTGTAAACATGTGCACAAGATGACCAAAAATTATGTAGAATTATGTTTGTACGACGCCCCTTGCACTTTTTTAGAGATTGAAATTACGGAAATTACATAGCATAACAAACACTTCAGGCCGCGCGATTGATAAAAGCCTTTTGCGGCCATTGAAAGCGAAATTGTTTTGAAAATTATATATATGTATGCGTAAAAAAGGGAAAAGTTCCTTTCTAGAGTTATATGTAATGTATTTTTTAAATTTTGTAGCAATGTTCGAATGTTCGTCTCGGTTCATCTCATTTTGTCGATGCCATTGTGAATTTTTGCATGCACAGAATTCTCCAAATCTCTATTCTAGTGAAGAACGTTTGAACTTCGAACAATTCATTGAATTCAAGTTACATTCATACTAAGCTATAGCATAACTAACTCAATTTTGTAAGTGGGAATATTAATTATAAAACTGATTAAATTAATTATAATTATCTTGAGAACGGACAACATGTATGTATCTTTACACAGAGAGCTCTTGATTATTGATTTTACGTTTATTTTAATATTACTTGATTTATTTTAAATCAAGTAATTTATGCAAAAATTTATTTTCATTTTACAGATCACCAAGCAAAAGGAAGTTTGGGAAAGAGCCACACAGAATTAATTGTACATCTTTATGAGAGAAGTTTCAAGAGACAATCTTGATCCCTATATCGTCATCGTCAGCAGCCATGCAGGTATGGACAAAAAGTACTTTACTATCCATTTTGGCATTCCTTAAAAAATTTTACTACACAAAATTTATTCTGTAATACTTTTTTACAGAGTCAAAATCGTCTGGCAAACAATGCGCAGTATGAGTTTTTACTCAAAAAAACCATGGACCTTGATTCGACCCAGCACTGGGTGATGGAAGCCCTTGGGAGACCCGTCGCAGAAAAAAAGTTCTGCTCCTTTGTGCAGTCAGTCTTGGAACTCGCGACTTATAATCAAGTTGACTTTGCCCTGTGCCAGGGAAATGTGAAGAAATTGTACAAAAAACTGCTCGACTCTGAAGACGATTGTCTCAGCTACACCATCTACTTTTTGCGGGTCAATAAGCTTTTCTCGCTGTCCTACCTCAAACTCATGCAAGACCGACTTTTGCCATGCAACGCTGTTTCAAAAGTAGATCAGCAGCTTTGGAACTCGATGATCGCCATTGAATTCTGCTCTCGACTCAACCACTTATACCACAGTGACGCCGACAAAGGTGGATACGGACCGCTAGGAGACCCTTATGCCATTTTTGAGGTATAAAATACTTTATTGTATATATTTTATTATTTTTTAATAGACTAGTGAGGGATTGTATTAAAATAATTTTAATTCAACAGATACCTTGGTGCCCAACACGATTTCATCAATGGCTGTGTCCTGCCGTGAACTTGGCCAATGCTTTAAACTTTGCGGTTCTGGAGTTCACATCGTGGCACTTCCCAAAACATTTATCTCCATTAATGATGGAAGTTCTCTTGATGGTTAAAAAGTTTAAAGAAAGAGTATTGTTTGGGATCGCTCTGCTTGGCGCCATGGTGAACCAGTTCCCAAAATTTGATCCTAAAATTCCTGCTATGATCTTGGATGACGTTCTCTTGCATTGTGCTCCTATCATCAAATGGTACGTCAACGATGGCATAAGCAACCTCCGCAGCTTCAAGAAACTGATTTGGCCTGGAGATACGCAATTGCTAGGCAAGTTTGTTTGCTCCGACTGTTTTGAGGAATAACTTTTTATTTACAGCTTCGGTTGCAGGAATTGTGGAGCCTTACCCAGAGGCAATTTTTGCTTTGGAGCCCGAACTTGAAGAGTTGAGCCACATGCATATCTACAGCTATGATTTCTGGGCCAACTTAAAGTCTAAGAAACTCCAGCACCTTTTTGGCAACGTAAAAAACTATGAGGACTTGTCTAGAAGGCTTAAGAAGAAAAACTATGGTGAAACTCAAATCAACTTGGCCTTCAAAAAATTTTCAGACAACTTACGTGAATGTGAAGAAGATGAAATAAATCAATCATTGGCGCCTGTTACAAAAATGGCCTTGGAGCTTCTCTTGGATGGATTTCAAGTCTTGAAATTGGCTTCTATTAAGCAAGGATCAGACTCGCCCTTGTACGAGGATTTTTTGTACCGCCTGCATGACATCTTTGATCAAAAGCCAGAAATTGTGCTTGAAGTGAAAGAACTGCACAAAATGAAAGAGACTTTCAACGAATTCAATAATCCTATCTGCCTTGGCAAGTATCGGTGCTCAGAGTCACCATCTTTCAATGATTTCAAGTGCCACTTTCACAAGCGCCTTTACAAGCTGGCAGCTCTGGTTGCAGACTACTCTCATGGAATGACTCATTTGAATTCCTTCAGTCTTCCCTATGATGGAACAATGACTCTGAAAGAATCTGACAAAAAAATTAGACTGCCAAATAAATTTTTCAGTCGCAAGGATTTGCTAAAAGAATTGAAAGAAGCCCAGCCTGAGCCATTGGAGAACGCTGAGCTGACAATCTTCCGTCACATTCAGGTAGATAATTTAGTTAAATAAATTTCTTTTCACCAAAATATTAATATTATATGATTTGACTTTTGAAAAAATTTAGGTTGATACTCAAGAATTGATCGGCACGTTGGCTGCAGAAAGTTTGAGATGGATAGATGAGAAATTGGAGCCATTTCCTCTGTGGCAGTTTATTCAGTACTACTTACCAAGCCTGACAGCTTCCATGATGTGGAAGTCAAATATAGAAAAAGGGGTCAGATCACCAAACAAGGAAAATATAGCCAATTTCCTTGCAAACTTGGTGCAATATTGCACAGATGCATTTAAGTGCCACAAATCTCAACAAATGGCAATGAAAACCAAGCTAAAGAGTGAAGGAAATTACGAGGAGATGTGCTTCTACGAGATGCTGGTCCAGTTCCGAAATCGAGAGCTCAACTGCATCATGGACTGGCTGTTCCTCGGCAAAAAGAGGAAAAATATTTTCCAAGAAGAAGAACTGCACCCTCTCCACTATGGCTGGATCATGTCAAATGAAGTCTCCGGATATGTTGACAACAAGCGAATGATCGAGCTTGCGAACCTTGCCCTGTTGCAGCACAACAACCCCACGCTTCCGTTTTCTCAATGCATAGCTGGCAACGCTGCTGCCCTGGAGGAAGCCAAAGGTAGATTTGAATTGCTGCTGCAAGTAGCCAGAAAGACGTATGGACTGCCACTGATTGGATCACCGATTCCTGACGAACCTCGCCTTTCCAATCTCTATCAAGCCATGGCAATTTTAATTGAGTGCGACATAATCATGTGCTACAACATTCGTTTCAATGAGAAGGAAGAAGTGCCTGTGAAGTCCATGAACCCTGATCTGATATTTTGCAAATTCTATCATGAATGGAATTCAAAATTCAACAATCTGGGTAATCCAGACAAATTTGTCTTGAAGAAGCGCTTTTCCTCCCAACTGTTCAATAACGAAGCCAAGAGTAATGTGGAAGCTACAACTGAGGACAGCTTCAAAAATGCTTGTGAAATTCTCGTTAAGTTCAGGAAAAACATGAAAAGTTTTGTGTACCCCAAAGGCTATTTGATGCCAAGAAATTGTGCCGAAAACGTACAAGGTGCCATTGATAAATATGTGGGTGGCGACCTACAAAATTTTCGCAGCATCATGAATGGGCTCCTGTTTTGTGAAGAATTGCAAGAAAAAAATATCTCTACGGAGCATATGGAACACAAAGAAGAGATCAAGGATGTCAAGAAGAAGAAAAACAGAAAAGGGAACACTCCTCGATGTGCAGCATGCAAAAAGATTGACGGCTACTTGGGCGTTGAGCTTTTCATGTGTGAAGAGTGCAAAAGTAATATGGATGAATTCAACAGAACCGTTGAAGACATATTTTGGTTTTGCAGCCCAGATTGTGAAGAAAAGGCGCTGACAGATGGAGAGCATTTGGAGGAACATGCTCAGTTTTACATTAGTTTGGTAGAAATCTGATGTGTGTTAATTTATTATAGCCTCATGTTTAGGCATAAACACATAATTTACTCCAGACTCGATTAATCGTAAATAATTTATGTGATTAAAATTAAAGGAGAATGTTTATTCTCTTTCTGCTCAAACCTCTCATATTTCTGTCAACACTATTTTCATTTTTCTTAACCTTTCATATATACATATTTTAACATGCACGGTATTTATCATAATTTTCTATTACAAAATCATTTAAAAGTAAATTTTTGGTCCTATAGTAGTTTGCGTCAAAACATAAATTATGAAAGAAATTATGAAAACAAAAATGCTAAAAAGAAAAAAATTTAAATATTTAATTGTACAAGACAGGAAACAAAATTATAAAATTCATGATTGAGTATTGGTTTGATTGCATTAAATTAATCCTGTCTAAGGTGGCATAATATTCTTGAATTGAATTTTATTGATACTCTAATAGCTCTGTCAGATATTTCAATCAAGTAAGATCTATTTTTGCCATTTTTGGATATTATAAATTGGTCAATTATTTTTTGAACTTTCTACTCATTCAGCATTAAAAAATATTTTTTTTAACTTTTGCTCATTTAATCACGTAGAATGTTTTTTTTATCAATCAAAATGAAACGTATAAAAAAGTAAAAATATGATTTCTGTTTCCTATTCCATTGTTTGTCCAACCCCTTTAAAATTAAAAGTATGCAGCACGCCCGCCAGTTATGTCGCACAGGTTGCCTTTTTAGAACACACAGTTGAGGAGTCTTATGGCCTCTATTTCGGTTCATGATATGGAAGCGCCGGCAACAAAATAAATTGAGTTCTGAAGGCGTCAATCACTTTTCTGCAGGGACAACATAATAAAATCAAAGTAAGCCACCCGCCGGACCATTTTGATAAATTCAATAAAACGTGACATTAGCCATAAAGCAGGAAGGAATTCAGGCGGCTGCCTTTCACCCCGAGATGGCCCCTTGACTCTTTTCAGACGCGCCACCCCTAAGGGCGCATCACCTTCCACTCTTCTTGTGCATTTATCGCTACACTGGGCTCATCCCTTGAAACATGGCGTTGCCGCGGCTCGTTTTTACCCCTAGCCCACCCTTATCAAGACGCAACCCCTTCGCTAAAACATACGGGGGCAAATAATCAGATAGCAACAGTAATTTCCACTCGTGTAATTGCATTCCAGTGATGGCCGGGGGTTGAGGACAGCAGCAAGTAGTAAACGAACGGACAGGCAGCTGGGGGTGGTGCGTCGAGTCCGCACCCCGTGAAATAATTCTGACAGCACTTTTTATGCTTGACAGACTCGGCCAAAAATTCTCCGCTAACATATTTAAGACCCCCAACGCAACCGCTCAAAAACTCACGGGTTTCTTTAAAAAAAAATTAAAAATAGATTTTTTTTAAACGAAGTATTTGAGAAGTGAATATAATTTTTTTTTATCACAATTATGTGTTATTCCTAATTCTGTTTCTTATTCAAGTTGCAACAAAAATACTATAGAGCTTAAAAATATGAAACATTTCTAATTTTACAGCACTTTTTTTACATTTATTAATTAAAAATTTAAAACTTTTGTCAAGTAAGACAGCTTCAATGATGCAAAGGTGAGATTGGTTAGAAATGACATTAATTAACTCAAAGAATAAAAAAAATCGTCTGTTTATCATCTTTTATCTGGTTGTAAGACGAGGTGGGAAGCAAATTGGTATTTGTGTCACGTTCATCTATGGTATTCTAGATGAACTCTCGGACTCTTGAGGGGTGCATCAGAGCGTTAACCAGAGGAACCCTGCGTATTGTTAAGACGTCAAGAAGTGATGGGGAAAGCGTCGGCCAGATGCAATAATGACATAGTTAAATAATTCCCTGACAATCAAAGCAGGATGAGAGATAATAAAATAAATTCAATCATATTTACTATGATTTTAAAAAAAATAACAGGAACAGTTTTACTGTACATTACCATTATAATATTAAAGTGTATATATAATTTAAAATGAAAAAATTTAATCTAAGCTTGCTCTAAATAAAAAATATTCTCCACACTGCTTGCGCAGTAAGCCAACTTGATTTTTCGATTCAATTAATTGTTTCTCTCATCTCTTACAAAACTTAATCAGGAAAAAAAGTTTTTTAGCAGCTGTAGCCGCGTGATTTGATTAAGTTCTTGCGACGTGCTTTACACAACAAAAGTAAATTGATTTTGATACAAATGAATATTTTGAGGATTTTTCGAGTTCAAATTTACAGCATGCAATAGATGCAGTACGTCAAAAGTATATATACAAGGGGGCATTGGCGCAACTGAACTTGACGGGAATAAGATTTAAACGAACCACCAGCGTTGTTAGAATGATGCAAGCACGTAGTGTGTATACTACTGCTTGGGCGAGATGAATTAACGAGCTTAAGTTTGAGCAGCACACCACGCGCGCTGCAGATTATTTTAACTGCAGCAGCCGGTCGAACACTAGAAAATTTATTACACGGCGAGAAGAAGAAGAAACAAGGCTGCGGAGATTTACTTGCGCTGAAAGAAACTTTTGGCTTTGTTCTTCTCCTCTGCCGTGCATTTAAACTGTCGCAATTAGCGTGTAATTGCCCTCAAGCATAAGTGTGCTGATGGAAATGTTAAAATATCACTCTAAGGTTAAAACTGGCAATTGCTAGAATGATTCAAAACGGTACTGAAATTGTAATTAAAAATTTAAATTAATATTTCCCTTGCAAAATATGTTCAATGTAATAAAATAAGAATTGTAAGGAAAACAATAGTAATTCTGGTTGAAACAGTATTTTATTATAAGCGACGCGCCCGTTAACAGACAAATTTCACACTGGCTGAGTAATTTGCGGCAGGTGCTAAGCTGAGGCGAAGTATAATTTTCTGCGGCACGCGTGTTTTATGATGGAAATTCGGCAAGCGACGGATGGGCGTTATGCAAGAATAATAAAATCAGCCAGCTTGAAACCACCCCCGTAACGCGCCAGCCGCTCGCCATCCCTGCACAACCATTAGACTACTTTATATTCGTGGAATATATTGCGGACAATTTGCGCCCACCCGCCAACTTCTTATAGCATTTGTGACTCGCTCACTCTCCTAGCTGCGTGTGCATTATTACTTAATTTATTGGATGAACGCTTCTCGTCCTTATGCATTGTGCGCGCAACAATGAGTTGGAATTATTGTATAACAAGAGCGATGGTTGCCTTCCTACTTGGCTGAACGACAGGCAATTATATGCGTTTCATATTCAAATCAGGCCGATCAGTGGGGCGTAAAATACAATTTTGAAGCAATTTATTCTCTCAAATTAACCACTACCAATTCAACGTGAAAGCTTCTGTTCCAGAAGGAAGCTTCCAGGAGTCAATCAAATTAGAAATTAATTGCACATAGATGAAATTTCTGGAATAATATAATGAAACTATTTGTTTAACCTGAAAATTTTTAATTTGCTACATGAAACACAAAACTGAAATATTAAGAGCCGAAGTTTTTATGAAATTGAGTAATTAAAACTTATTTGATAAAAACTGTAGATAAAAATAATTTTACATGATTCCTTTTATATTAAATTTGGTTTTAAATGTTTGGGAAATAAAACTGCCAACATATTTTCTTTGAAGTGTATGAGTTTGTAAACCTTTCCTGCAAACCCCTGAGCTAACTTGCTAAACGCTTCCTTCTCTGGCAAATTGATGAACTGCACACCCTCAGCACATTTGTGTGCGCCAAGAGTGCAGCAAATTAGGCGTGGATCGGGTATAATTAGCAATTAGTGCGCGTGGTTATCTTTTATCTTGTGTGCCGCCCGACTCTGTGTCTCTCGCGAGGGTGAAATGTAGGTAATGCAATTATGCGCCTAGCCGAATAGATGCACGCGGGGCATAACTCACCGTGCCCGCGCGAATAATAATTGTATTCATTAAAATAGTTGGTGGGTCATAAATTAGGGAATTAGAGTCGGCAGCAGAGAGCGAGAGAGAGAGAGAGAAGTCACAAACACATCACAAAGCCACCGCGTGTTTTGAACAAACAACTCACGTCGGGCGTGAAAACGAAATACTACTGCAGAATCCCGGCAGGAACAGCTCCACACAGGCACACACGAGCATTAATTTATTCACGCTACACTGGCTCCAAACCACGTGCTTTATTGTTGATGATACTGGAAAAGTGGCTTATACAGTTTTTTTTTATACTTAAAAAAGTGAAAATTTGATATCTTTCAAGGGAAAAAAGTATCACTTTTTAATGAAAATGATCCATTACTTATAAATTTAAAACAAAATTGTCTACAAAATGTAGACGTTTAAAATAGTGCTGGCCCTGCTTTTTTTCTTGAAATATTAAATTTTAACTAAATTAATTTATTCTTCAATTTTTCACACTTGAAAAAAAAAACGCTGTCATGCATTTATAATAAAATCCGTTCTTGTATAGGCTCCAAATTGTCGCAGCAACAAGGAAGTTAATCTTCCACCATCCTATGCTATATAAAATTTTGTCTTGCTGGCGGTTTTCTCGCTTTTTTGACAATGACGGTTGAAGATAGAGGAGAATGAAAAGAAGGCGACGGCTCCTTTCGAGATCATCGGAGCACAAAATATTTGAGCTGCGGCGTTCTTTTGTGTGCGCCGGCCACATGCACGCCTCTTTTATTCCAAGGTGATGATTTCAGAAATCTAATTCCAACCCTCCGTTTCGGCCGCAATAATGAGGAAATGGCGTTTTCATTTTCGCTCCCAGTCAGCCCGAACCGCCGCCGCCGCCTCTCTGACGCTGTGACGAAGGCGTCTTCTCAGTCAGAAAAAGAGAGAAATGGATGACAAGATGCAAATTTTTCGGCAGCATAGCATAAAAACTTTTTAAGCCTCGCTAAAAAATGTTTAAAGCAAGAACTTCCATGAGTTTTTTTTACACATTTATGCATGTGCTGGAGCGTATCATAAAATACAGAGCGCTTTCAGTCTCATGAAATTCAAAGGATTCACATACGTCAAAAGAAAACATTCTCTGCTTCAGCTCTGAGCATTGTTGGAAAGTCACTTTTTCTAAACACCAAGACGAAAATAAAAATACTTTCTTCCAGTTACGCGCTCTATCCAAAATTTTGA